CGGACCGACACCGGGTTCCTGGCGATAGCAACAGAGGTGGAGAATGACGGAGAGAAAGCCTCGGAAACTCCAGAAAAAATCAAGGAATTACTGAAGGAGTTCCAAGACATTCTTCCTGACGATCTTCCGAACGAGCTACCGCCATACCGAACGCATCAACACGAGATCGTGGAGGAACCGGGTTCGAAACCGACCTTCCGATCACCATACCGGCTCAGCCCTACGGAGCTGACTGACATGAAAAAACAGATCGAGTATCTCCTAGCCAAAGGACTCATCCGACCATCCACTTCACCATACGCTGCCCCAGTACTCTTCACCCCGAAACCGGACGGAAGCCTGCGCATGTGCATCGACTACCGAGCTCTTAACAAGCAGACCATCAAGAATAAATATCCGATACCGCGAATCGATGACCTGCTTGACCAGCTTCGGGGAGCTACGGTATTTTCCAAACTGGATCTGCGGTCCGGATACTGGCACATACGGATGGCGGACAAATCTATCCACAAAACTGCTTTTCGAACTCGGTACGGATCGTACGAGTATTTGGTAATGCCGTTCGGACTCACCAACGCACCGGCAACGTTCCAAGCCGAGATGAACCACATTCTACGCCCACTTTTGGACGAGTGCGTGGTGGTGTACCTGGACGACATACTCATCTACTCGCGCGACATGAAGCAGCACGTCGAACACCTGCGACGCGTCTTCGAAATTCTTCGACGAGAACGATTCTACGTCAAACTGTCCAAGAGCGAATTCGCCCTTGAAAAGGTCCAGTTCCTAGGACACATGGTGAGCGCTCAAGGAGTTCACGTCGACCCCAAGAAAATCGAGGCCGTACGCACGTGGAAGACACCCGAGAACGTGAAGGAGTTGCAGCAGTTCCTAGGCTTCGCTAATTACTACAACAGGTTCGTGCCACAATATGCGAAAATCGCAGCACCACTCACGAATCTGCTGAAGAAGAACACGCCCTATAAATGGGAACCAAAGCACCAGGAAGCCGTGGAGCAGCCGAAACAAGCACTCACGTCCGCACCGGTACTCATCTTGCCAGATCCCGAACGTGACTACGTAATCGAAGCTGACGCCAGCGACCAGGCAGTGGGGGCAGTCTTAATGCAAGACCAGGGGAATGGACTGCAACCAATCGCCTACCTCAACAAGAAACTACACGGAGCATAACTAAACTACCCGATACACGACAAAGAGGCCCTTGCCATCGTCATCGCCTTTAATGCGTGGAGATGTTATCTCGAAGGACGACGAACAACCGTCTACACCGACCACTGCAGCCTGAAATACTTGAAGACACAACCCAATCTTTCCAGGAGGCAGGTCCGGTGGATCGACTTCCTCGAGACACACTTCCACTACGACATCGTGTACAAGCCCGGCCACAAAAACAAAGCAGACGCTCTTAGCCGGCCTGCACACGTTGCCGCCATTCAGATTGAAGGGATGAACCCACTCCTCAAGGGACTCTTCACACACGGGTACGCCATCGACCCCGAAATTCCCTTGGCAGAAAAACGACATCTGCTACAGTGGGACAGCGACATCGCGTACCGGAAAGGATCAACAAAAATCTGGGTACCAAATTACCCTCCTTTGCGCCAGTTACTACTCGAAGGATACCACGACGTCCTGTACGCCGGACACTTCGGTAGCAACAAGACGCTCACCGGTATCGCCAAACACTACTATTGGCCCCATATGGCAGACGACGTCCAGAAATTCGTCACCTCGTGTGATACATGTCAGCGGATGAAGAGCAGCAAGCAGAAAAAGGCGGGACTACTGCAGCCTCTTCCTGCCCCAGAACAGCCATGGCAAGTGGTTAGCCTCGACTTCATCACCGGGTTACCACCTACCACCAGCAGTCATGACGCAATCCTTGTCGTCATTGACAAGTTCTCCAAAATGGGACACTTCATCCCGACACACACGACGGCACGCACCGAGGAGACAGCACAGCTCTTCGTTCGTCATATCATCTCACAGCATGGCATCCCAACCACACTCATTTCCGACCGAGACCCCAAGTTCACCAGCAAGTTATGGAAGGAACTTATGTCTCTTCTCGGGACCAAACTCGCCATGTCATCCGCATACCATCCGCAGACAGACGGACAGACCGAGCGCCTCAACCAAATTGTTGAGCAACTCCTCCGAGCAGCCTGCAAGGACGACATCTCCAAATGGGACTTGCACATGCCCGTACTAGAGTTTGCTTACAACAATGCTACGCATGCCGCTACTGGACAGACGCCGTTCTTCCTCTGCTACGGACGCCACCCACTCACACCACAGAAACCGACAACATCCGCTATGGTACAACCTGCACATGATTTCATCACAACCATGCATCAGCTTTGGGATCGAACCCATAAGCGCCTCCTCGACATTCAACAGCAACAAAAGCGCCAGGCCGATCGCCATCGCAACGACCACACCATCACGGTGGGCGACCAGGTGCTTCTTGACACCCGCAACCTGGACATCAGCCACCTCCCATCTAAACTTCGATCTCGCTTCTACGGGCCTTTTCTCGTTGAAGCACAGGTCACTCCTGTTACCTTCCGCTTACGCCTGCCAGCTATCTGGAAGATTCACAACGCCTTCCATGTCCAGCTTCTGAAGCCTTACCGGGATCCAAACACGATCTTCGTCGGACGCCAACCGCCGCTGCCGCCGCCCGTCCTCGTCCACAATGAACCCGAGTACGAGGTCGAGTCCGTGCTAGCACACCGCCGATGTCGGAATGGCACCATGGAGCTTCTCATCCGTTGGAAGGGTTATGATCCCTGAGGACAGCTGGGTCCCTGAGTCCGACATGGGTAACGCCCGTCGCCCTCTGCATGACTACCTTGTCAAGCAGGGTGTTACTTCTACCACCCAGCTTTGAGGGGGGGAAGTGTGAGAGTACGACCCCGTTACACCACTTGTCCCTTTTCTTATTTCCTTCCTCGTTCATTTCTCTTTATCTCATCTCATTTGGTTTCCTATTCTCCATTAACCTTTGGTTTTTCCTGCTATTATAATTATATCACCGACCAGGCTTGGGATGTACTGGTGCGCTATATCTAGCGTAATCCTGTCGTAATCCCTTAAAGCCAATAGCCTCGCGTGGCTATACGCAGGGTGATTCTATCTTCTAGAAGGGTCTATTCCCTTAGGATAAGATAAACTTGGTTACCTGATGTACTTTGGAAGTATAAAAGCGCCTTGTACTGATCGATAGTGCAACCTTTCCTCGACACATTTGATCCTGTGACAACCACCATCACCTCCACCAGCGCCAGGCCACCCAGGCGGGAGGCGGCCGACCCTCCGCTGCGACTGCTGCTACTGCTGCTGCTACTGCGGCTGGTGCTGCTGCTGGTCAAGCTGGGGCGTGTGCTGCTGCTCCCGCTGGGGCTGCTGCTCCGAGGCACCAGCCCCAACCCCCTCGTCTTTACTACCGCTAGCGGATGAACCACCACCCACCACCATCTCCACCCCCTCCTCCACTACCCCCGCCGCGCCCAGCATTGGGGCGGCGAGCCTTACCATAACGGGACTGCGTTGCGGCCACCGCGGCAGTAGTCTCAGCTGCAGGGGCTGTCTCAGCTACAGCCGCAAATCTGTCAGAGTAAGTGCACTGGGCGGGAGCACAACCTTGAAAGATAGGGACCGGCGTAGTACCGCTACACTGGGCGATAGAGCGCTGACGGGTCTCTATGGCAGACAGTGTGTCGACCAAGTCGGAGAGGGTGAGGTCAGCGGGGTGCAGACTAAGAAAGTGGTCGCAGGCAGTGCCAAGGCGGTCGGGGAGGCAGGTGGCAAGCAGGTAAAGGGTAGAGCAGATAGGGGGCTGGAACACACGAAGCTGGGCCTTAGTGCAGGCAGCGCGCCAGCTAGCGTCGAGCATGCGCAGGTGCGTGGCCAGGTCTGCGACAGTGGGGAAAGACGCGAGATCAGGGAAGAGCATGGGAAGGATCAGGCGGCCGGCAGAGGCAGAGGACGGGGTGGAATAACGCGCGACAACAGCCTCTAGGAACTCCTGCGCTTTCCTGACCGACTTAAAGCGGGGGCGCTTCGACAGGGGGAGGGCATGGCTAATTGCTAACTGAGCGACAGCGTTACGCGACAGCCAGACAGCATGGGCAAGGGCAGCAGCAGCGGCGGACTCACGGTCAGCAGACGTGGGGTCAACGGGGAGAGCAACAGGGGGGTCAAGGCAGGGGAGCGTATCGTCAATGTGGACAGCCAGGGAGTGGCCGTCCTGCCGCTGACCAGTGAGGTGACGGCGGAGATCGACGAGCCATAAGTCGAACTCAATCGGCTGACCCTCTGCGTCAAAGCGCAGGGGAAGCTGGGACGACGGGGCCGCGGGGCGGCTAGACGACGAGGCCGCGGGGCGGCTGGGCTACGGGGCCACGGGGCAGCTAGGTCGCAGGGCGGCTGGGTGCTAGGCGACGGGGCTGCGGGGCCAGCGGGGCGGCTAGGTGCGACGTGGCGGGGCAACTGGGCCGCGGGCGGCTAGGCGCTAAGTGACGGGGGCCGACGGGGCCACGGGTGGCTAGGAGCTAGGGGAGCGGGGCCGCGGGGGCTAGGCGCTAGGTGACAGGGCCGCGGGACCACAGGCGGCTAGGCGCTAGGGAACGGGGCCGTGGGGCCAGCAAGGCAACCGGGCGGTGGGGCCCGACGGGGGGGGGCTAGGAGCTAAGCGACGGGGAAGGCTAGGACCTAAGGCGGAAGCGCGGGTGGGCGGGTGGGATCTAACCTACTCATGATACCATCTCAGAGTTAGAACGAATGACAGAATGAGAGTATACTGGGGTATATAGCTAATGGGTTGTACTCTCTATGGCAAGACCCTATATAGTCTAGTAAACATACACAAATATGTTTGACAGACTGTTCGCGTGACTGAAACGGCCTGCTGACGTAACCATCCAGACGAGCACTATTTGCTGACGTCTTTCTACGGATGCTAACTACAGTATTACTCCACAATATCTATAGGAACTACTTACAGAAATGCTTAAGTACGATTTTATCACAACAATTTTAACAACATGCTGTCTCCTACACCTCTTATTGGTAGCATGTTGGACAGACATCGTAGACCCTGCCAGTTGCAACCACCACCACTGCCACCAGACTCTTTACACTGCTAGCTCCTGCCCAGCGCCTCCTGGCAGTAGCATCTTGGACAGGCATCGTAGACCCTGCCAGTTGCAACCACCACCACTGCCACCAGACTATTAACACTGCTAGCTCCTGCCCAGCGCCTCCTGGCAGTAGCATCTTGGACAGACATCGTAGACCCTGCCAGTTGCAACCACCACCACTGCCACCAGACTCTTTACACTGCTAGCTCCTATGCCTCCTAGCAGTAGCATCGCGACCAGGCATCGTAGCCTCTGCGAGTATTTCCTCCAACCGAGCACAAGCCTTTTCACAAGGTAGCTAGAATCTCCTCAGCCTGAGCACATGCTCTTTCTGCCAACTTCCTCAGCTCGGCCCCCACCGCCTCCACTGCCTGCTGACTCCTTTAACTCCTATCTCCTCTGCCTCTTGCCACCACCTGCGCCAGGCGCCATGGCCTCTGCTAGTATCTCCTCCAGCTGAGCACACGCCTTTTCCGCCAATTCTTGTGAAAGCTCCTCGAATTGGGCGCACGCATTCTCCAGCAGCTCTCGAGTCAGCTCTTCAAACTGCACGCATGCGTTCCGCACAGCCTCTCCCATGGCAGCACTCACCCTCTCCCCCACTGCCGCTGCAAGGGGACCTTTAACACCTCCTGGTAGCACCCTAGCGCCTCCCGGTAACACCCTAGCGCCTCCTCCTCCTCCTCTCAACCTCTCCGCCGCTCTCCTTGCAGCTTTCCGCTCCTTCCGCTCCTTCCGCTCCCTCTGGTCTTTCTGATCCTTCCTTCCTGTCAAGGTCGACCCACCAGGGGCCATCCCCCTCAGCATGTGCACTGCAGGCTGAAAAAGAGAAGGCTGGAATAATGCGGGCTGGAGAAATGTGAGCTGGGGATTTGTAGGCTGAGAAACTGCAGCACCGGTAGCAGGTGTAACCCCCCTGCTATGCAGGGACAGCAGGTAACTGTCGGATCCGCCGGCTGCAAACGGATAGAGAGCTGATGGTGCAGGAGCAGGCAAGGGTAGAAGACTGCTGCCAGCTGTAGCGGCTGTAGCAGCTGCGTCCGGCCAGGATGGGGGGGCCATGCTTTCGGGAAACGCATATGCTGGCATCTCACTGGGCCTCACCGCTGCTGCTGCTGTATTGGCTGTAGCGGCTCTGGCGGCTCTATCGGCTCTAGCGGATCTACCGGCTGTAGCGGCGGCTGTAGCGTCTGCACCATTCCCTGTTGCACCATTGGAGTCCTTCACCCCCTCCAACATGTAATATTGTCGCACATACTCGTACCATTCCAGATCTCCCCCTGCCATCCTCTTTTCCTTCCCCTCCGACGCGTTACCATACAGCAGCCCAACCGCGTTATAAGACCCCCCCTGCCCCCCCTGTTCGCCCTGCTCCCGCTGTCCCCTCATCCGGTCGTCGTCGTATCTCGCTTTCATGCGCTTCCACTGCTGCTTCATCGCCTCCGACAGGCGCGACCACGCGGGGTTCCCCCGCCGGATCACGCGCCGAATCTCCCGCCAGTACCCGCTGCCCTTGGCGCCGACGCGCCGCGTCACCGAACCGCTCTCGCGGCAGTAGAGCACCGCGGCCGCTAATTCAAGCATCTCCGCATTGCTCCACTTTCGGTTCCTCGTCTTCCCCGTCATCCCCCTCTTCCCCGCCGCTGCTGCTCCGCCGCCTGTAGCGGTAACCGCGGCGGCCTCCCTCTCCGAGTCACTGTCCTCTCGACCCGCTTTCCCCGCTCCGCCCGCTGCTGCCGCGGCTGCTAGCTCCGCCATCTCGTACTCGTCTGATTCCGATTCGTTATAAGTTTCATCGTCGTCGTCGTCGTCGTCGCCCGCATCGCCTGTCGCATCGTGCCGGCGGGTGACGTCAGCAGCCTGCTGCTCCTTCATCCAGCGGACGAACGGGGGGTCGGTTCTCACGATCAACGTCTGTTGACTCGACTCTAAAATCGGCATCCGATCGCCGTCCAAGCTTTGGTGATGTCCAATACTAGTTGCGGGAATCGTAAGAGCCATGGTTCAGGGGAACTAGGCTCAGGGGACCTAGGTTCAGATCAGAGGACCTGTTTCCGAACAGAGACGGCGTGATGTGATTTGCTTCTGATGAGCTGTGATTGCCAGCTGATGAGCTGTAATTGCTTCCTGATGAGCTGTGATTACGTGTGATTGCGTTGCTGCGTGTCAAATGGAGTCTGTCAACGCGCAACGGGGTGGGCTGATCCTTTTAGTGAAGATAGAGAATCAGAATCTCTACTAACAGAATACCAGGAACGCCTTATAGAATATCAGCGATTAGAATACCTGCTACCTGAGGACGACTAACACAGACTAAGGAATACCTTAGCTAAGGAATTTCGCCAGCAAATATTGTGAGGGAAAACGCAGACTGACGGCAAACCCCAGTTTGAAATTCCAATTTCGTGAGGGGGAGGGCCTGTCGACTCTAGCTGACACGGTGTCAACCGGAAGTGTGTCAGCCAGTGTGTCGCTGACACGCGCCAACTGAAGGTTGGGTCTTTCTGGGGATAAGGTCGTGTCAGCCCATTGGCAAGCCAGGATTTTTATACCCAACTAAAGTCAGCCACACGCGTGCTCGTCGTAACGGCTTGTGACGAAAGAAGGACTCAGCGAATGATGGCCTCGCAAATGTTACCCTGACACGATTCCGAGGTTTGTGATACCGCCTGACACCGTGCCAAGCCAACTATCCCTGCTGGTTGGACACGCCGAACCACATCGGCTTGGAAACTTCCCTCAGGCGCCGCGCGAATGTCAATGTCAGGGAGTTCCAGCCAATAGCAAATATCCGCGGTAACATCCTCTCCACACAGTTGACAACTTCTTCCACGCGTACAAATTGTTAAAAGGCTAGCTTAGCTAGGAAGCTAGGACAGGCATGAGGTTTAGCTAGGAGGAGCCATGGAGTGGCGTGAGGTTTAGGAAGGAGAAAAGTTGAGGAGAGAAAAGGGGGTTGGAATAGAAAGAGAGAGGCATACAAGGAGGGGATTGTACCCTCTACAGTAAAGTTCGGTAGCCTACCAAGCCTAACAATTACATAACTCAATATATAATTTTAACACACCCCCTAGGCTTGGTAGTCACTAGCCCACACACACCCCCACACCCCCTAACCTAGCACCCCCATTCCCATCAGCCACAACGACTCCAACAGGGCCCACAAGGCCTTGGAGATGGCGACGGCGGCAGTCCCGGCCGCGGCGACAGCGACAACGGGCGTGCGGCGGCAAAAGGCCTGCGGCGACGACAGCGGCGACGACGACGGCTTCGGCTTACGACGGTGGTGAGTGCAGTGGCCCACGCCCTTCCGGCGGCGTATCCAAACTCCGCGACAGGGGGACGACCGGCGAGAGTTGTTAAAGTAAGAACTGAATAATGAACTAGAAGGAGAAACCTAGAACAAATACTACTTGGTTGTACTCACTAGAAGCATACCCCAGTCTAGCCTATAACTTCTACATAGCTAATATGTATAAGTTGACACACCCCCTAGACTAGACAAGGGGTGAAGCTAAGCAAGAAGCAAACAGCTCAGGGTGGCACTACTAGTCCAACCACTGATGCAGGGGTCAGGAGACCAGTCAGCAAGAGTACAAGCAAGCCAGGGCGGCACTACTAGTCCAGCCACTGGAGGTAAGGCCACAAGGCCAGTCAGACAGGTATATATAATAGAGAGTACACAATCAAGATCCTAACAAGTGAGTAGCTACAGGAACAAAGCCAAGCTGTACACAGTGCCGCAGATGATCTTTAGGCGCAAGCGCCTTAGTAAAGATATCAGCTGTGTTGGCACCTGAGGCCAAGTGAACTACGTGGGCCTAGCGGCGCTGCTGTAACTCGCGCAGGAGGAAGTACCGCAGCTGGATATGCTTCCCTCTGCCCTCAAGCCGAGGCTCCTGACATAGGAGTATCATGGCTCTGTTGTCAGTGTACAGGACCGGGGCAGAGCTAGGCCGCTCACCTAAGTCTGTGAGCAAGAAGGTAAGCCAGCGGAGCTTCTGTGCCGCCATGGCACCGGCGTAGATCTCAGCCTCACAGCTGGACTGAGCCACAGACGACGAGCGAGTGGATCTCCAAGAGATAGCACCCGAACCAAGGCTAAAACAGTAGCCCGTGCGACGACCTTAGCGTCTCAGAGTCGTCTGCCCAAGAAGCGTCTGTGTGCCCAGTAAGGACCACTGGCCTGCGTCCTCCTAGCACTAACCCCATGCCCGATGTACTGGCAAGATAACGCAAAACCCTCTTAGCGGCAGACCAGTGCTGAGGTCGGTGTCTGCCTGTAGCCACAAAGCGAGCCAGGATGCTGAGAGGGTATGCGAGATCTGGGCGAGTGCAAGTCATCAGGTACATGAGGCAACCCACTAGCTCTGAGTAGGGGCCACTGGGCTCTACTGGCTCCTCAGGAACGCTAGCCCATGGTCTACAGGTAGAGGTGTGGGCTGTGCAGAGGAGAACTGAAGACCGAACCTCTGAAGGACCTGACGCACCAAGTGTGACTGCGTCAGAGTGATGGTGCGTGCTGCTCTGTCCCTAGAGATCTGCAAGCCAAGATAGGGACGCAGCTCTCCAAGGTCAGTGCACGTGTGTCTCTTCAGAAGCTCGGCCTTCAAAGAGGTCAGTGCGTCCCTGTCAGCAGTAGCGAAGACCAGGTCGTCTACGTAGACAAGGATGTAGAAAGGAGTCTGGCCGGAACGCACAAACAGTGAGGGGTCAGTAGAGGACGGAAAGAACTGCAGGTCTGCTAACGTGGCACGCAACGTGTCGTGCCACTCGCGGGAAGCCTGACGCAGGCCGTAGACCGGGCGCCTGAGAAGCCACTAGGTCCCAGGGGGGAAGGTACCAGTGAAGCCCTGTGGTCGGCGCAGGTAGACCTGCTCGTGTAGGCTGCCCTGAAGAATGGCAGTAGAGAAGTCGAGGGAGTGAAGCTCGTAGTCGTGCTGTGCTGCTACGTGTAGCAGCGCCCGAGGAGTGGTCATCTTCGGGGTCGGGGCGAAGGTCTGGAAGAAGTCAACCCCCTCGCGCTGACTGAAGCCTCTGGCCACGTAGCGCGCCTTGAAGACAGGCGGCTCTCCAGGGGGGCGCTTTACCTTGAACTGCGTCGACGTAAGTGCCGGTGGACCTCGAAGATACCATCTCCGGCTCCATGGCAGCTATCCACTGAGAGGACCAAGGTCCCGAGGTGGCCTCAGTGTAGGTGCGAGGGGTCGGGATATCGAAGGCCTCTGGGTCACCCTCAGGGACTAACAGCATGGAGCAGAGATGGGGAGCAGCCTCGGAAACGAAAGCAAGCTCGTACTGCCTGTCTTCTAGGACGTCATTGCCAAGGGCAGGAGCACCCCCGACGGACGGAGGGCGGGCAGGGTCAGAAACCAGAGCGGTAGCGTAGTCAAGGCGGTGGGTAGAGGCGAAGTCAGCGACAGCAGCGACAAGCGCGTCAATGCGCGAGACAGGAACAGAAGGGTCGGTAACAAGAGAGGCAAGGACCCGAGGGACAAGAGGACGAGCGGCACGGAGGTAGTCAGAGAACGGAGGAGGTGCAACAGCAAGGGACGAGGGAGGAGGGGACGAAAGGAGGGGAGGACGAGACGAGTGGGAACGGAGCAATATAGGGTGGGAGCGCAGGACAGGAGAGACGGGACGAGCACGGGAGGGACGGCGAGACCAAACGTGGGACGGAGGTGTAGGGTCAGGGGACAGCGGAGGGGACACATGAGGGGAACGAGGAGGAAGATGGGCCGGAGACGAGTCTGGCGGCAGGAACACAGGACTGTAGACAGGAAGGTCAGCAGGCGGTGGGGGAGACACCGGCGAGCGGTCCAGGGAGTGAAGACCAAGCAAGCGGAGAGCGGAGACCGGCGGCGACGGCTGCTGCGGCTGCTGCGACGGCTGGGCCGGAACCCTCGGATTGGCAGAGGCAGGACGACCGTCGACGGAACCCTCAGCAGCAGCACCCCCAGAACCAACACCCCCAGAGCGAGAACCCCCTCCAACACCGGCGGCACCCCTAGGAGCCGCATGACAAACACCCTCCTCCACACCAGCACCCCCAGGGGCCAAGAGCGGCGGCGACGGCAGCGGCAGCGGCAGCGGCGGTGACGGCAGCGGCGGCGACGGCGGCGGCCGCTGCGGCGGAGGCGGCGACTGCGACAGCGGAGGCGAAGACACCGGGGAAGGGGGACGCGGCAAGGACGGGGCGGGGGTACCACCAGAGTCAGCGGACTCCTCAACGGGGACAACCGACGGGAGGGGAGTGACGTGAGAGACACCAGACGGGGCAGGGCGAGGCGGGAGAGGAGTAGGGGCTACCGGGGGAGAGGGAGCAAGGAACAGGGGCGGGGCAACTAGAAGACCGCAGTGAGGGAAGCGGCGGTAGAAGGAGACGGACTCGTCAAAGGTGACGTCACGAGAGTGGAGGAAGCGGTGAGACGGCGGGTGGTAGAAAAGCCAGTCAGACGAGTCCAGGGGGAAACCGAGGAAGACACAGGGGACAGTGCGGGTAGTGAGCTTGTCCGTGCTAGGGGCACGAACGTGAGCAAGGCAGCCCCAGACGTGGAACGCAGACGCGTCACCCCGGGACCCGGTCCAAAGGAGGGTCGGCGAAACCTGCAGCCGCTGGGAGCGTGGCCACAAGTTAAGCTGGTGAGCAGCGTAGCGAACAGCGAACGGCCACAGAAAATGGGGGGCATCGGCATGAATCATGGAGGTACGGGCGACCTCCATGACCAAGCCGATGCGGCGCTCAGCAACCCCATTCTGCTGTGGCGAGTCCGGCAAGGTGTACGACTGGGTGATGCCCTCCGCACGACAGAATTGTCCAAGCCGACCAAAGGCGAACTCGTCGCCACGGTCAGAGTGGAGACACAACACGGGGAGGCCGCGGTGAAGACGCGCAGCCACAACCCACGGGAGAAGAACGTCGGGCACGTCGGCCTTCCGCTCCAGGGGAAACACCGTGCTGTAGCGCGTGTAGTCGTCGACGAGCACAAGGAAGTAGCGCTCACCGCGCGGTCCGGGGACGGGGGCAGGGCCCCAAACGTCCAGGTGCAGGGTGTGAAGGGGGGCAGTAGCAGGGCGCAGCGAGGAGGAGTGAGGAGCACGGCGGAGCCGGCCCTCGACGCAAGGCGTGCACGGTGGCGCAGTCGAGGGAGGAAGGGCAGGGAGCGACGCAGGGAGACCTAAGACAAGACCGTGCTGGGACATGTCACGCAAACGTGGGAGAGCAGGGTGACCTAGGCGGTGGTGCCAGAGAAGGGACGGGTGAGTGAGGGACCGACACGAGCAAGCTGCAGCGACCAGGGAGGACGCACCAAC